TTGTTGCACTTTATCATCTCAAACTCTTTATAGCATTCTTTAAAATATGGACACATACTTTTCTCTATTTTTCTTATGTATGTGCTTTGGACCGTAAATGAAAGTCAGTAAATAGAGTTGGAGGTAGTGCGGAAATAGGACTTTTCTATTTTTGTCTGTTATCAGAGGCGGTTCTTTTCACTTAAGGTGAACAGCCTCTATTCTGGATAAGCAATCTTCATTTCAGCACGTAGTCTATATATGTTTACTTCAATAGTCGTTTTGTTTCAAACTAAGACACAGCAAGCACATTTTTCTTTCAATTTTATGATGCTGAACACATTCATTGGTCTTAACATGTTCATGAGTAAATTTCTGTGGGGACGCATGTTCGCGTAGACAAATTTTAATGATCATAAACTCAATGTTTCAAGGTCATTCGTTAATATGCTTTAGTGTAATGTGACAAAATTTTAGTATTCAATAGCACTGATTGTTTGAGAAGCTGACCAATTACCGTATTCCAATTTGAGCCTGACCAAAGAATCCAGTAACCTGTATCCTATCGTGCTAACATTATATGCTTTATTAGTAATAGTGTATTGTTGATTGTTATTTCCTTATAATTTTCATATCATGCATTACTTGATCCCACTGTTTTTAGGCAATGTATTATTTAGGCATTCCAACTACTCCAGCTGCATCAATTATCACATCTGACACTCTGGTTGAGCGTGACATGCTTTATACAGGTGATAATATCACTGAAAAAGCCAGTATAACTAGCATAGTAGCTAAGACATTCATCAGGTAATTATTATTTTTTGTAAAAGATTATCAATTACAAGAGTTTGTATTTCATAGCTTAAAAAACCCGAAGCAGCACTCAAAAATCGGATGTATTCGAGCAAACGAATTTTGTAAATAATTTCATTATCATTAGGCTATAGAGTTATAAAGCCTTAATTTCTGCATTAAAATGACCAAAATGAGATATAAATAAATTAATGTCAAATCAGTGAACATCGTGTAATTCGCCTATTCATTTATGTCTTATCGTGGCAATTATAATACAATACGTAGGAAACATAATCAACGCAAAATTAAGAAGAGACAAATACTGATAACAATCTGAAGCCAAAATTCCTGATTGGAGGAATCATTACCGTATCAAAGTTTTTGTTTGTAGACACTCAGTTTTAAAGAGTTACATGCAGCCGCAGATGTCTTACGAAATTAATTGTCTAGAGTCTTGAAGAAGAAATTCTATTCTAATGAGCTACGAATTGCATTTTCCAAGAAATGTCTAATATAAGGATTTGCCAAGGATAAACTACGGCTTTGGGCGACCTCAATATGTATCTAACAGCTACTTGCTCTTGTAGAACTTCTAATTATTGGCCTCTAAGCGCGTGATCATTCCAACTACTCCTATCCGTGCACTACTCAGCATGATTAATAAAAGGTGAAGAGAATTCAGTCAATAGATCGACTGTTTAGCGCCTGGTCAAATCTGGTCATCTGTTTTCACCATAACCTGCATTCAAAGTCGAAAGGATTTACACATGGCGGAGGCCTGATCTTTAGCTTCAGAAGTGGTTTAATCCTATCCCTTGGCTTACTGTGGAACAAACCCCCCTTCTTACTTCGTTAGTCGTTTCTTGGCACATGCTTGTTTTCTCTTCTCTATCTTCCTTATGATCGTCAGTTAGGGAATCTTTCATATCTTATTTCTATATACTATTTATTTATATTATTAGTTAGTACTTAATAGATTGAAGTGAAATGGGTTACAAGTGAAAGATATTTGACAACTTGAAGCATAATAATATGTTGTGACCATAGAATAGTATGGCATTGTCAATTGTTTGGAAAATTGAATATAGAAAAGAAGTTATGTAATAACCTGACAGTTGATTAAAAAATTTTAAAATAAAGTTCATTCATTTGATGAATATAAAAAATAAAATAGTTATTTGTTATAATAATAGGTGTGTAATGATTATGAAGAGATAATGATTAAGTAAAAGCAACATATTACTAAGCACGGAAAACACAGTGAGGGTTAAGACCAAAGCAAAATGAGGTATTAAACTTGATGTTTTTGCACATAGAGAATAAGCTGGAGTTCATGGATTTCTAAAACCTTTGTGGTACATAAGTTCCTGACTTGTAATCTGAATAAAACGATTTTATTTGACATCACGGATGACTTTGAAGAAGGATTCTGGTGGAGCGATCTGACCAGTGTCAACATGATGTTCAAGAATTGGACTGTTAACTGACATCGGCAGTCGTTTTAATAGCCAAGCAGTATAATGTTCAGAGAAACTTTTTGAAAGATCATTACTCTGTTTTTTATCTTAACGATTACTAAAGTTGTTTAATAATCCATATCGTAGTCACTTCTTTCATCTTACATGTTTACTAACTATCAATTCAACTCATGAGTTTGGTAAAATTTCCGTAATTACATGGTCAAATGTGTTTTTTGCATTTTTTATTCACTCTGCTGAATTTGGTTGTGTAATTCACCTAATTCTGTTGTGACAAGTTATAAATAGAGTTTTCACTATATTTTTGTTGTTGTTTCTTTCAAAGGTTTGGATCTTTTGAAATATCTTAGTCCCCAGATTTAATTACTGGGCGTTTCGGATCAAGCGTTGGTAATTTGACAATTGTATCACAACTTACTAATTACGTAATACAGCAATTTTATCCTCATGTAAGTAATTCTATTTCTTATTATTAACTGTATCAGAAATAAATATTCTTAATGATATTTTAAAGTTATAATAGTATAGTTTATATGTAGTTGTTTTCTGTTCCATCAAAATGACTATAATAATAAAATGTAATTGTTATCGCTTCACCTCAAATGGAACGGAAAAGGTAAAGCTGCTTTTGAAAATAGAAGGGATGATAGAGCGAGCAAGTCCAAACAGGTCACATATTTCTCCGAAGTCAAATGAACATATGATGTCTGGAGGATAAGTTTTAACCGAGAAATGTAAGCGTGGTCAGGTTTTCTGCGAGCTAGTTGACTTCGGGGCTAGTCATTATTGCATACACACGATTATGTTTCTGTTGAATGGTTTGTGAATCACTTTTCAGTTTACAGTGAGTAGTCATTATTAAGTCTTGAGAACTTACTAGGACACAACGGCTATCGAATATTTCATAATTTGCATCACGAATTGACATAACTTACACAACGATCGAAGAACAGCAAAAACGTGATAGCTGTACGTTCCAAACACGGGACTCCTCAGCATTACGGATGGCAAATCGGTTGATAAGGTAGTGAATGAGTGAGTCAACCAAAGTGGTTGGGAAATGTATTGAGTGTACTCATGTACTACATACCTTGTGGCGCGATCATGACTGGCATAGGAGTAGGTTGGAAGGAAGGAAGCTGAAAGTGACCAAACCAGAATGTTGCATCAAGCCACGAAGTCGTTGACCTATTCAATGAACTTTTTTGGTAGATGCGGACTACCTGGTTGAGGTCCGCGTAACTATTTATTTATTTATTTCAACACATAGATATTTGAACATAGAGGCACCAAATACATATGCGCCACACAAATCTCATTCGATATGTGTGAGGGCTGTGATACTGCCCGGGTGCCCAAACCGAAGCAGATGGTTTTCTTAGGGGGCCACACCCATAAGAAAACCGCGTAACTATCGTAATCAGTGGTTAGAGAATTAGTGTGATACGGCCGAGGATCGTCCTTCATGGTGCAGGTCGGTCAGTCAGTCAGCTACAACGTAGGACCAGGCACATATGTGCATTGGTCCAGGTTGCCATACCGCATCAGCACAACAAGATGAACACCGGATTCATAGGAGTGGTTAGGTAAAAGGTGGTAATATATAAGAGAAACATTGCATATAGAGATATAGTACAAGAAGAAAGAATTGGTTCGTAGAAAGAAAGATATGAAGCGATTTTATTCTCTTAGTATAAGGGAAGACAGGGAGTGTATACACCGACGCCATTGTGATCGATTCTGAGCCATGTCACCAAGAGTCTCCAACCATTGGTTACGATAGTTATGGTGCAGGTGCATTCACTCTGTTTTCTTTTTGATCTCAAGTCTTAGAATTATCCCAAAAAGCTTTTTTATCCGACGAATCCATATTTTCTTGATTCGTATCTCCCGTCCCTATTCTTCTTTATCACCACTTATACTGTTACCACCTCGATTACTCTGGGATCTGTGTTGTTAATTTCATTTCCTTTTTACTAATTTGTTTTAGCAGTTTGAACCGATATACATATGGGCCATGTTCTACGTTACTTATGAATGACTGACTTCCACAGTGCTCATCTAGACTTCACCAGGAGTGGAATCGAGGACCCTCAGACTTTATGGTGTGACATTAAGCTCTTACTCCTAGGTCGGCATCCAACAGTTTTCATTCCTAGCTTTTGAACCTAATCAGTGTGCCCACTGGAAATTAATTTCGTGAGGTAATTTCCGGAGTTCTGATGAGAAACCGATATCAGTGGAGTTCAACACCATGAGAGCTTGCCTACAAATGTCATTGTGGGATGATTTCACAGTTGATTTGATTCATGTTGAATGCTAACTCTGTGGTATGACGGTTTGTTACTCACTACAAGGTTTAGTGGTTTGAGATTTGGTCCCGGATGTGGTAGTGGATGCGCATTTTTAAGAAATCCAATACTAGGTCAAATTAAGCTATCCAATGTTTCATGATTTTCAGTGATTGTCTAACTAAGTTCAATCCGTAATATATGCTATAAACTTCGTTTATTTCTATTCAACTCTCATACTGATATCTGCTATTTCCCAGTTTTCAGCGACTCTATGTCTCTGTAAATAGAACAAGAAACTATAAATTATCCGTTAGAATAACTTTTTTAATTGTTCCACCTTAAAGTGGATAAAATCTTTATTTTATCCTTGTTTTTTTACATTCCCTGTTGTTTAAAACATTCGTCAATCAAGATTTGGTCAGAATATTTAAATGATATTATTAATTGTTATATGGAATTCTTTAAAGAAACAGTGAAACGTACAGCTAACCTAGTCACTCTTTGGCAAACTGTTGGATTTTGTCATGGGTAAGATTAAAATGTGAAAACACACTAATAATTTCTATTCTGAATAATTATACTACTTTTAGATTGGTCATCTATGTATTTTGACCAATGTTATATGATCACAAATAATGTTTGTAGCTGAAGATAAAGATGTGTATTCAGTACATATATACAAACTATGACTACTTCAAGTTACGGGTTAAATTTGCAGAAAACTCTAAGACAATTTACAAAATGTTAAAGATTGTTTACAATTACAATAAAATAAATGAAAGTAGCCTCTTTTTAGTTGATTTTCGTTGAGGTTTATGAAAAGACTGTGAGAACGATTATAAAAAGTTAAGAGGATGATCGACCTCCTTTGTTGATAATAATACCTATCACATAGTGTTTTCATGTGTTTTTAGAGAATTTATGAAACTGCTCATAAAAATCTTGACAAACATTCATGCAGATAATTTGCAATCTAATTAAATTTACTTAGAAACTAGTACACTTCACTGAATGTCTCAGTATATGTTGTTTAAACTTATGTGTCTACAAGGTAGCTGTAATTGTCAAATTTCTAGACAATTCTATCTACTCCGTTACAAGAATATTTCTAAGGGGATGTTATATATGAGAAACACTATAAATTTGTATTAATAACATTCATGAACTAATAGTATTGATAATTGCCAGTATGAAATTGTGGAAATTGTTGAATTCCACTGAAATCACGTACTGATATACGTTTGTACACCATTGAAGACCTGAAATTACTGGACGACCATTTTGTGAGACTCCGTAACCAATAGAACTAAACCGTGTCTGACGTGAGGAGGAAACCTAAATCAAGACAATGGAGCCTGATATATAGGTCTTTCGATGCGTAATTTATCCGAAGGAACTCAAAAACATTACCCGTAGTGGCTAAATACAAGCGGAAGCGGCTCAATAAGACGCTCAATAATCGAACACCTTGTGAACAAAGGTTACTCAGTTAAAGCGGACTCTGCGTTCGAAACCATTTGCAGAGCAAGTAGAAGACTGCCAATGGCAGTTTTAATGCATTTTCATAGTATTTCTGATGCAATAGCTATACATCTTAAAAAATGGAATTATGTTTCCAAAAGAAACTGATAGAACTTCTTCTACCATGGTCTTAATGCCATATTTTTCTTGCTTCTTCATACTTTTCTGCTTTCACAGTCATCTGCTTCCCCTACCTGTCTTCATGATGAATATTCAACTCTTGAACAAAAAAATTATTATTAGTTTGCCTGATAAAAATAATGTTTTATTACCTTTGTTTATTCAACCGTTTTTAGCAGAATTTTATTATCACTGTCATCGTTATTAATGTAATTTTTATCATCCTGGAAAATAAGTATTTATTTATTTATTTGAAAATATAGATATTGGTACAAGTGGGCACCAGATACGTATGCACCACACAAATATCATTTGATTTAAGTGAGGGCTGTGATAATGCAGGTGGTTTACTTAGTAAGCCATACCCGAAGCCTTCGACCTTAAGGTCTGATCCACAAGGCAGTGGGACAACGTAAGAAGATGCAGTACCATGGTAACCGGTGACCAACGATTGATTCATACGTCATTTTTTCCCTCAAGATACTGGAGCCGATGTGCACCATTAGTTTGAGATTAGGGTTTTCCAACTCCCCTAGGTGAACTCTATGCGTCCTTCAACCCTGTTAAAGCGTCAGACATTTGCTTTCCGTACTCTCAGTTTCGTAAACAACACCGCCGTCACGAGAAAGCAGTGAGTAGGACTTCCGTGGCAGAGGCTATATACATGTGGCCATGTGAGAGCATTTCGAGAGGTAGAGGAGACTCTCCCCACTCTCGGCCGTACCAGGGCATTTGAGGTCGAAAAAGAAGTATATATATTTGCAATTTTACAGCTTTTAAAACAAATTCGCCGAAAAGAGTACTCTTCATTGAACCAATCTTTCTCAATTGATTGAAGTTAAAATTGTATACCATCAGATGCCGACTCAACAATTTGGATGTTAAGCTTTCGCAAACAAGATCCAAGGTCTTGGGTTTAATTCCAAGTTGCAAGGTCGATAATACATATTGCTGGGGAGTTCCTTAGTTCGGTCGAAACCATGCAGTTCTTTTTGGTTTTCAAAGGTTGTATAACCCAAATGGGTTCGTTTCATGTTAGTGTTTTTATTAGCAAGATTGCTTTCTGAGGAATCGGATCGCTAAATGCATCACCAACCCTCCCCATTTATTCAGGCTTGAGATCGGCAGTTACCCTAAAACGGCTATTTCATAGGAACCAGATTGGCTCATGGTTCCAACGAAGTATTGAAAGGACTTTTTTCTTTAATTGCACCAAAGGATTTAAAAGTTTAATGATCACTCTGAAATACGTAAAAGAGTTTCATCATTAAGTTTAAAGAAAGTAAAACATCAAACCTGAAAAACTCACTTAATGCACGTCAAACCGTAATTTTTATCAGGATGAAGACTTCTAACTAAACCTTAATGTTAAGTAGTCGTGAAGCTGTCATATAGAAGCCTATGCAAGCATAAACTGTTTCTAACTAGAAAAGCTCTTAATGTTGACATGAAAAGATCACGATTGTCTCCTTTCTGTTGAACTTGCTGTAAAATACCTTTGAAATGAAATAGCGAGCGGTGTAAGCGATAAATTTTCACCAAATCAACTTACGTTCAATTATACGCAATAAAGCAATTGCATAAAGACAAAACACCTATCATTACATGAACATATAAAAGAAATACCACGATTATCATGTAAATGTCAGACTGCAACAATAAAGTTCAGGAACACATTGAAAATGAACTCTGTGTAAAAATGGAAAAAAACAGTATCTATAGCCAAACTGGACAAATTCAGTACTGAAATAATCTTTGTTACAACACAGGTGCAACCAATTCTCTTTGACACCAAAAAACTGCAACTTTTTGTTGACTCCATAATAAAAGTTCCAAACACTGGAAGAGATCAAAAATATACTGAATAGCCATGACATGAGTGTGTACATTCTCACGAACAGTTTACTTAGTTCATCATTGGTAGAAAACAACGAAGCAATGCTTTAAAGTCAAAATAAATGTTCAGACCATGGCAGGGAACCTTTCGGCAACAACTAATCAAATCAGCTGTTGATCACTTGTAGAGAATATTTTCATGCCCCATTTCTTTTGAATTTTTGATATCAACTTGAAAATCTTTGAAATCGAGAGATGTACTAGATGGTCATTCCGCCTCTAATTCTAACTCTTCATCAGTGCACCCTCAGGATTGTATACAGAACTTAATCTGGTATCATCAAGTTTGGAGGAGGTCACGTTACATACAAACCATTGTGATGGGGATAAATAGTCTACATTTCCGTATAGTGGTGTAGATGCTCATACTGTTGACAAGTTTCTAACTAGAACTAAGTTACTGTCCATCAGTTGCTGATTTTTAATTGTTTTTTTTCCAACTCTTACTCTATTCATAGAAAATTACCTTTCAATTTGTTTTTTTCCCCATAAAATAACCAGTGTATTAAATGCAGATAATATGAGTATTATTGGCTTAACAATTGATTATGGTCCATTTGGTTTTATTGATCAGTTCACTTGGGATCATATATCGAATACATCAGATCCAAATGGACGTTATTCATATGCTCAACAACCAAGTGTTTGTGCATGGAATTTAGCTCGTCTAGCTGAATGTTTAATTCAAGCATTAATTGATCAACAGAAATGTTCATCTGATAAAACAGCGAATAAAGAATGCATATTTGTTGATAATCTTTAAAAAAAATTCACTAATGTGTTGGATACTACATATATGTCTTGTTTTAAAAATGTCTATTTGGAAAGAATGCGTAAAAAGGTAAGTTGATAAGCAGTTATATATATGTATATGTATGATTCGAGAAGAAAGAATAAGTTCGTAGATTAGAAGATGTAAAGTAATTTCAAAGCTCAGAATTTAAAGAAAGTTAGGTAGTGAATTGATTTGAGCTGAGTTATCACACAATGGTTTAATAGTTGAACGTTTTTATTGTAAACTATAGTCTATAACCTGAATTTTATAAGAAATCGATTACAATTTCTGAATATCAAGAATTTATAATCTCTTCGTGTACCACATTCAGTTTTTCCTATCGATTCCGATATTCCTTCAGTGGACTGGCTTTTCTCATTTACTATTTAATTTTTAATATTAGTTAGTAAACTTTCTATGTTTGAAGCGATTACGAGTTCACCTAGACTGAACAAAGGCTCTGTAACCAAAGACCAATGAGCTAGCTAGTCGCGAACATAAGATCGGGAAGCAGAGAGACAAGAGGATCGAACAGTAACGAATGGAAACAGAATTCAATTTGCATGAAAATGCAAGAACAGTGAAGTCTGTGTCATTTTAAGACAATTGATGGACACTTTGCAAATTAAGCATTTACATTATGATTGTTAGATTTTATGAACAAGTCCTGTAATTTTGTGTTGAATACATTTGATTGCCTCCACTGGTATTCTGTTCACTACATCACTATTCAACAATTGGATTATGTATATTTATATTCTCCTTGTTATAAGCTTTATTTTGACCTATATATTTTTACTGTACAATTTACTGTTCTTAAGCTATGTTCAGTTTATTGACTACTGTCTCCCACTTTCAGAGCCACTTTTTGGCTTTATTGTGTACAAATGTTATTTCCTATTTTATGGTGCGGTGCGGTCTGTTTGGTTGATATATGAACGCAGTATGTCTGAAATAAATTATTCGATTCGATTTTCATATTGGGATCTGATATTGGTGTTCTGGACTCAAGTGGACGGGCTAGACGGACATAGGACTAATAAGGACGCTAGGCTGCTCATACCGGTCGAACGTCATTGGTTTGGCACAGTGCTAAGATTTTATAAGTCGTGTTTTGATTGATGGATGAATCACGTGATAAAAAGCCGAACTAGAGCCACAACAAAAATGGTAGAATATTTATTTCAACCAAAATATACAGCTCTTTCCGTGTGGCCTAATGATTCCTTGCCTAAACAAAAAAGAATTGGTAATTCTGTGATTTTAGATTTTAGTCCTAGTATGGGACTCCTCAGTAGTCAGTGACAACGTAGAGCTTCATACGTACGTATATCAGTTCGAGTTGCCATACCACATTAGCAAAGAGATGCAGTTACCGATTCAAATCACATAGTGGTAGAGGTAGTAAGAGTATAAGCAATAATCGAAAACATCGGGGTTTGAAGATGTTATTCAACGAGTATAATCCAGTTAAATATATTTGGAAGGAGAAAAAAGAAAGGAAAATGAAAAATTCAGAAGATTAGAATTTGGGAGAACATAAAGAGTGGATGTACCTGCGCAAACGTTTTTGAGTCACGTCATTCAAGTTCTCTAACCATCGATTGCTATCAGCAGTGGGCATCAACGATCCCGCCTGGCGAGATTCGAACCCAGGTCCTGTCGGTATCTAGCACAATCGCCTAGCCACTAGAACACTGAGCCGGCTGTCATCCAACGATGTTAGTGTCTAACTCCAACCAATCCACGAAATTGCGCCACCATTCACCATTGTCTTCAGTGTGTTACTATCTCACAACAGACCCGGTTGAATTCCACTGGTCACGGCTGAGTAGTTCTGTACTAGGACGAAACTGCCATCCAGTGCTTCCATGGTGGTCCAGCTTGAATTGACTCATGAATTCAACTGTTTAATTAATTTAATTTGGTTCATTTACTTCGAAGGATTGACTCACACTAGGTCACGAAACCGCAGAAATTTAAATTAATCATTAAAATTTTGCAAACACATCATTGACTTTAATTTTGAAACGTATATTCCATGTTCAATTTACTTGAAATTATCAAGTTAAACCTTGATATTAATAATTACTAATGTGAAATTGAATGATTTGATATATGAATGTGTTATCTTTATTATATTCATTTCCTAGTTAGGTTTGCTTTATGCCAAGGGTGAAATAGATACAGAACTTATTCAAAATCTATTTAATACAATGGAAATGACTAGTGCTGATTTCACAAATACATTTTAGTCAGGATGGGCGAGCGGTCCAAGGTGCTGCATTCAGGTCGCAGTCCACTCTGTGGGCGTGGGTTCGAATCCCACTCCTGACACTAAACTTAGCCCACGAACGCCCTGGTACGGCCGAGAGTGGTTAAATACTCTCACACGGCCGCGCGTATACAGCCTCTGCCAGGGAAGTCCTACTCATTGCCTTCTCGTGGCAGGGGTGTTGTTTACGAAAATGAGAGGACGAAAGCGAACGTCGGGCGCTTTAACCGGATCACAAACCAATGGTGCACATGGGCTCCAGTATCCTGCGGGATCAAATGGCGTATGAACCAATCGTTGGTCACCGGCTACCATGGGATTGCATCTCCTTACGATGCTCCACTGCCTTGTGGGTTAGACCATTAGGTCAAAGGCTCGGGGTGTGGCCCCTTAAGATAACCACCTGCTTCGGTTTGGGCACCCGGGCACTATCACAGCCTACACACAAACGATGAACTCTATGTCTATGGCAACTACTTTTCTTGCTCCGATAAACAATCAATCGATTCAAATAATTATCATTACTATTATTGTCATTATTAATAATATTATTATTACCACTATTGTCATTATTATTATCATTATTATTATCTACATTATTCACCCTCTTTTATACTTATACAGCGGCTCGTCTTTGGTGGAAATTCGACTGTATCTAAACGTGAGGTCAGTCAGTCAGCTACAACGTAGAACCAAGAACATATATGCATCGGTCCATGTTACCATACCTCATTAGCACAACAAGATGAATACCGGATTCATAAGAATAGTTAATTCAGTTGTGGTAATATATAAAAGAAAGAATGCAATAAGGATCTAGTACAGGAAGAAAGAATTAGTTCGTAGAAAGAAAGATGTGAAGCGATTTTAATCTCTTAGTTTAAGGGAAGACAGAGAGTGTATCCAACAACGCCATTGTGGTATGGTCGCTGGCATCCGATGATGTAAGTGTTACTTTTACAATATATCTACTTTTATACTTGCATAGTTGAATGACTATGTGTATTTATATAACTGTCGTCATCTGAAATGTGGTTGTTTCAATAAGACAGCACATTAGTTGTCCGCCGACTGTAATACACACCACTTAGTGTTGACGTTAACTGTACACAATCATTATGTAATACATAGAAAATTTTACAAAGTAGTATTTTTCTGTCTTCTATTTAGCATATGACAGAAGAAGAATACCAAGAGAGAAATAAATGTCTATGGTCTATGTGGTTACAAACATACAAAGTACGTTTAAAAATTGATTTCGAAGGGAATAATGGTAATACCAAAATACAATACTCTGAAAGTTTAAATTTAATGCAGTCTGTAAATCCTCGAGTAGTTCTACGCAATTATCTTGCTGAAGAAGCTATTAAATCAGCTGATAAAGGAAATTATACAGTTGCACAACAATTATTTAACTCATTGACCACGCCTTTTAAAAATCCTGATATGTCATTGAATAACGAGGTGAGTAGTAAAAATGTCAATTTACGGTTACTTGTTTTTAACCGAGTTTTTTTATCAATTCATCAAAATACATCGATTTCAATTGATCACGGTAAAAACCAATGTCAATTTTTCTTGGCTCTTAGTGCGAATCAAGTTATTTTTAAACCAGTTCGCAATGTTGTCACTAGTGTTTAAATGACTCGAATATGCTGTATTTTGACGTTGTATGTTTGACAGTAGTCAGCATGTGACGCTGTATCACAAAGGACAATAGTAGGTGTAGCATCTGTAACAGTAAAAATACATTTGACATAAAGAATGATTTATGAGATGCAATAATAAATTCACTAGAAGGTATAAAATTGTTTCGAAACTCTGGACCTAAGACAAGACAAAGTGTTGAATGTATCTGCATTGTTGCTATTGGTTACGGGTTATATCACCTAACGTCTCAATTGGTCGATTTTCACTTGTAGAATAATCTTTAAGTGTTTAGTTCTATTTAAACTAGCCGTTGATTATCCTGAATGATAACTAAAATTCTTCAATTAAATTACTAGAACATGGACTCCAGAGCCTGTAAAATTATGTTCGTCAAAAATAAGTCTCTGCCATACCATAGCTAAGTAGATTTATTTACTAGCCATATCATTTGAAATTTTACAAATATTACCAAATCATGTACATTTATATAACGCGGTATTATTTTACTTTCGGAAAATATCTTTCTTTTTTGTAGTCTTTTCATCTTGTATCCCGGGTTAAATACCGTCCTCCTGATTGGTCTCGTAAACTATGTGTTTCTTGTTCATCTTAACAGATAATACCATGTAAGCTTTGAAAATAAATATCCATCCATAGTGTATTTTAATATCATGCTTCAATATACAATACTCCCAGATGTTCAACAATTTCGTTTTAAATTTCATTACCAAATACATCAAAAACACTAAATATTATATCTTTGTTTTACTATCACTCATTTGTGTCAAGTTACTGTGTTGTTTAGGAGCTGTGTTTTGTTGGTTGACTTCCGATTCTGTTGTGCTTCCAAAAAAAGAATGTGTTCTTGATTTGTGTTGGGGTTTGTGTGATCATGCCGCTACTACAAAATTACTTGTATTATCTAGTTTGATAGTTGATTAGTTTGTCCATATTTGCTTTAAGACCAGTGATCTTCATCAAATTGTATACCAACTAATAAACAATAATCAATACATTAACACCTAGTGTCCTAATGGGAAAATGAGGATAAAAAGTAAATTCA